CATCTCCCCATATTCTTTCAGTGATTTCATTAAATTTGGCAATGTTATCCTTGGGTTTCCCACATAGAACAGCATGTAATCTGCATAAGCTGCCACCTTATGCTCTGTATCTCCTATAAAAATTCCTTTTATATCTATATTATTCTTTATTGTAGCCAAAAGAGATTCCAATGATAAAACATATAGCAATGGAGACAAAAGGCATCCCTGTCTAGTTCTGTTCTGCATCCCAAAATACTCTGACAATTACCCATTAATCATGATTGCTGCAGAGGGTTGACTATATAATCTCCTTATCCACTCTCTCATTCTAGGTCCCATCCACAATACTTCCAATGTATCCAACATATATCCACAATCTACTCTATCAAATGCCTTTTCAGCATCGATAGAGAGTACCACCGCAGGGATTCTCTCTTTCCAACTTTTTTGTATGAGAAACAGAGATCTCAGTCCGTTAGCTCTACTCTCTCTCCCTGGGACAAAGCCTACTTGGTCTATGTGTATCCCTTCCGACATTAGGTCTTTCAACCTGTTTGCCAGAACTTTTGCATATAGTTTGGTATATGTTTTTAATAAGGAAATCGGTCTGTAACTTGAACAGTGAGTATCATCTTTACCTTCCTTATGTATGAGAACTACATGGGCTTGTAGGGATTCCCTCCTCATTTCCATCTTTCCTCCCAATGCATTCATATATATCCTAAGTTTAGGTACTAATAATTCTTTATATTTTTTTTTTTTTTATATAATATCTCACTGTATATCCATCAGGTCCTGGACTTTTCCCAGCTATAGTGCTCTTTAATGCTAAGTGTATTTCCTCCTGCGTTATTGCTGATTCTAGGGATTTTAATTGCTCCTCACTTAATTTTGGTAATCCTGCCTTTTTTAACCCCTTTACACTGGCCGCACACAAATGTGCGGCCTTCCGGCGTCTGGGCCTAGACGCCGAGCGGCTGCACATTTGCGTTCAGGTAAGAAAAAAAATATGTGCTGAGAGCACGCACCCTGTGTGCTCCCAGCACACATATCCAGTACTCACAGAAAGGTTCCGGTCTGCTCTTTTGATCGGGACCTTTCCCGATCATGTGACCGCCACCCACCTGTCCCGCCTCCCAGCTTCTGAAACTCTTAAAGGGCTGGGAGGCGCCAGCGTGAAGTAGTTATTAAGTATTTCTGTCTTTTTTCTATTTTTCCTACTTCATCTTTACTTATGGAGCTGTGGGGATAATATTATATAGCTTATTATAATATTCTTTAAACACTTTAGCTATATCTTTAGTTGAATACATTAATTCTCCTTTGTGGTCTCTATATAGTTTCCTAGATTTTTTTTTCTCTGAGCCCTCATTAAATACTTTCCTGGCCTATCTCCCCATCTGTATCTCTCATCATTTTATTAAACACTCTTATCTTCTTCCAGAAATGTATTTAATTCTTCTCTTTTATTTATTACCCTCTGCATAATCTCTTTTGTTACTTTATGTTTATGTATCTGCTCTAACTCACAGAGTTCAATAAGAAGCGTGTTTATTTTTTCTCTTCTTTCCCTCTTCTTTTTTGCTCGCTATCAGGATTCCTTTAATATAGGCCTTATGAGCCTCCCACACTGTTGCTACAGACATTTCCTAGAGTAATTTTCCTAAAAACAATTGCTCTATTTCCTTTTCAATTCTCTGATCCATCTCTAAATCCTGGAGAAGTGTCTCATTTAACCTCCATAATCACTGAATTCACTGAAATAAATGCAGATATAAGTCCTCCATATATAGCAAAATGGAAAAAACAAAGGAAAATGTATAGAATAATCCACGGAAATATAAATATGCAGGAGGTAGAATTGAATTATAAGTGTTTGCCAAGATGGTATATCACATCGAGTGTGGCACACAGATTGAGTGGAAATAATTCACCTTTATGTTGGCGTGGATGTGGAGGTAGAGGCACAATGTTTCACATATGGTGGGAGTGTTCTAAAATACAAGAGTATTGGGGGAAAATAGTAAGCTTGATTCAGAAAATTACAGAGGTTGATATTCTAGTAGACCCAGAAATTTGCCTTTTTCATAGTACTAAGCTTTCAGTTAAAAAATACAAAGAATCTGGTTTATTGTACTATTTGAATGCAGCAAAGGGACTGATACCCAAGTATTGAAGGAGACAGGAGGTGCCGAAAATAAAGGACTGGGTGGATAGGGTGGATCAAATATGTAAATTGGAGGAACTTTATCATTTGAATGAAGATAAGACGGAGAGTCACCATACAAGATGGAACAAATGAGAGGAATTCAAAAAGTCAAGGCTAGCCTTAGAGGTTATGGGGGATTAACATAAAATGATATGGAAACATATTTTGTTCTACTTTTATAGGGATTACGATCTCCAGAAATAAACAGGAAAATGCAGAGCAGAAGGGGTTAGGGATTGGATGGGGGGATGGGTGGTATAAAGGCTGGGGGAGGGGGGGACGGGGGGGGGGGGAAAGGGATGAAATGATAAACGTTTTGACAATATGCTAAGGTTTTAATGAGTATGTTTGCATAACTTGTTTATCTGAAAAATTTATAAATATTTAAATTATATAAAAAAAACTTGCAGTGTAGCTTTAAGAAGTACCAGCTCCAGTCACACAGCCTGGCTGCAAGCGAATCCTCACACTCACAGGATGACGTTGTACAAGCCCCGTCCTATGTGTGTCATCATGATGACGTCTTCAGGGATGGATCCCTGGTCCACTCTTTTCATTTACTTGAATTCTTCAATTATGAATGCTTAGTGTCATATGTGGGCATTACCTATGAAGGTCTGCATGCAAATACAGCCTGCCTAGCAATACCCATTCCCCCAGACCTGCCCGTCAAGGTGTTTTAATATTTGCATAACTCCTCCCAAAGAGCCATCCAACTGCTTACATTAGGGCTCTTTAGTGGAGTACTGAGGCAGGGTTCTGTGGTGTTTTCAAGAAGGTATGTACAGCATCCTGTTTGCCCCATCCACCAGTCATGATCTGTCTGTATTTCATAGAGAAGCACAAAGACCCATTGATGATGTCACTGGATCTAAAATAAGGTATGTTTTTTTTTTAAGAAGAGCATGAGCTTATCAATGAGGGAGGAAGGAGGATCCAGGGAAGGCAGAACATAAGCAGATTAAACTTCAACCTTAATTTCCAAAGCTAACATCTGTAATAGGGGGCTACAGCATGTATTCGGATATGATCTACTAGTGTTCTAGGGTTGGCTGACTCGTGATTGCGTGAGATGATTAGCAGATATTTTTACCACCTCAACTGTTGAAAGGCATTCAGTCTTAGAATCTGTTTTTGATTATACCACAGAGGCTCTGAAACTCTTGATACTCTGTCACAATTCATTGTAGCAATAGTAGGTGAATGACAGCAGTCACCAACTGTTGTAGAATGCCAAAAATCTTCATAATGATTACAGCCTAAGCAACCTATGTGACATGTTATATTCAACTCTTCTAACAAAGATTGTGATCATACTTTGGAGAGTAATGGAAATTAAACATTTCATTTGGCTTCAGACTTGATTATACAATCCTTTCTAATGAAAAGAATGATATAGACACCATAAGATAAAAGAAATCAGTTTTACTTTATAAAATGTAATATATTTAAACATATAAATTACTCTCTTTAGTCTTTCATACCGCTTTCCTTTGCTGCTACTTTCTTTCAAAAAACATATACTTGTGTTTTATACTGCCAAGGGCAGAGTTACACTGCTTATGATAAAATCAATGGAAAAGTCAATTCACAAGGCTCTCATTTATTGTGATAACTGAGATTTTCAATAGGTGTCTATGGAGGAAGGCAGGAAAAGGAGACATTTGAGATAATGATAAAATAACACTTAATAAGATAAAATGATGATTTATGAGGAAATAAAGCTTTCACTGGTAAAGGTTAATTTCATAAAGAAAAGTTAGGATTACTCATCTTTATGACATTAATGTTTTTGAACTAAACACTTTAGAAGCAAATTATCATGAGATAAAAATATCATAAGATTAATATCTTAACATATTATTAAAACTGGAGATGTGCACAACAAAAAAAATTGTTTTGTTTCAGATTCATTCGTTAAGTAAATCATTTTGTTTCATCATATTCATTATGTTAAAATTATTCGTTTTTGGAATTTGTTTTGTATATTTTGGATTTGTTTCAAATATTCTATTTGTTGTCCTGAATCAATTTGTATTTCCCAGGAAGTTAATTTGGATTAATTTGTTATGTATTTATGTTATTTTGGCAACTTGCTTGCAGCTTTGATACAACTTGCTTGCAACTTCCATGTGACTTGCTTGAGACTTTGGTTAATCGTAACACCAGAATATAAACAAAAGAGGCATTGAAAAAAAATGCATAGGGTCCCCCCCAAAATCTATACCGGGCCCATAGGTCAAGGATTTCAAGGGGAACTCCATGCCCAAAAAAATCCATAAAAGACCCTTATCATTAGCATGCAGCCCAGTAGGCCAAAAAGGGGGGGCAAGCGAGCACTCACCCCCTCCTGAACCATGCCAGGCCAAATGCCCTCCCCATGAGGGGTACTTTGGGGGAAGGGGGCAAGCCTTGGGCCTATTCCCCAAAACCCTTGTCCCGTGGTTGTGGGGGTGCAGGGGTGATTTATTGGAATCTGGAAACCTTCTTTAACAAGAGGACCTCCACATCCCAGTTCCCCTATGTGAATTAGTAAAGGTACATAGTACCCCTATTCACTTACTGAGAAAAAAGCCAGAAGTAAAAAAATCCACAAAGACAGTTTTTGACAAGTCCTTAACCACCTCCCGCCCGCCATATAGTCCAATGACGGGCGCAAGGTGGTTCTCTCGTTCTGGGAGGACGTCATATGATGTCCTCCTATTCTCACCGTGCATGCGTGACTCAGGGAGCGCGCAGCGCGGTGATCGGTGGCGCGCTGTGTCCCTCGGACACAGCGGATCACAGATCTACGGAAAGATGTCGGCTCGGTCATGTGATCAGCTGTGTCCAATCACAGCTTATCACATGTAAACAGGATAATGCCGGTTATCGGCATTTCTCTCCTCAAGAGCTGTCACGCTGACAGCTCGAGAGGAGAGGAGAGCCGGTAATCGGCATTCCGTGGAGGGGACATGTACACTGATCATCAGGGCAATGATGATCAGTGTGCCCTGATGATCAGTGTGGCCCCAGAAGTGCCACCTGTCAGTGTCCATCAGTGCCAGCTGCCAGTGCTGAACAGTGCCATGTGCCAGTGCCACATCAATGCCACATATCAGTGCCTACCAGTGCACATCAATGCCACATATCAGTACCCATCTGAGCTGCCTTTCAGTGTCACCCATCAGTGCCACCTATCAATGCCAATCAGTGCCACCTATCAGTGCTGCCAATCAGTGCCACCTATCAGTGCCAGTCAGTGCTGCCTATCAGTGTGCATCAGTGCTGCCTATCAGTGCCCGTCAGTGCCTCCTATCAGTGCCAGTCAGTGCCGCCTATCAGTGCCGCCTATCAGTGCCATATATCAGTGCCGCCTTTCAGTGCCCATCAGTGATGCCTGTCAATGCCCATCAGTGCCACCTACCAGTGCCTCCTCATCAGTGCCACCTATCAGTGTCCATCAGTGCAGACTATCAGTGCCCATCACTGCAGTCTCATTAGCGCACATCAGTGAAGGAGAAAAATCACTTATTTACTAAATTTTACAACAAAAACTAAGAAAAAACATTTTTTTTTCACAATTTTCAGTGGTTTTTGGTTTGTTGAAGAAAAATAAAAAACCCAGAGGTGATTAAATACCACCAAAATAAAGCTCTATCTGTCACAAAAAAATGCTAAAAATTTCATATGGGTACAGTGTTGCATGACCGCGCAATTGTCATTCAAAGTGTGACAGCGCTGAGAGCTGGAAATTGGCCTGGGCAGGAAGGGGGTATAAGTGCCCTGTAGGCTAGCAGTTAAAAACATAAATAAACTTGTCTGCCAAAATGACAGCCACTTTTCACCCATTGCTGAGTAAACATGGAGGCGGGGCAACCTGGTAATGTCACTGGGTGACCATGCCCCTATGACATCATGGACAGGGGTTTCTGAGTGATGTCATGAGGCAGGGTTACCTGGGGATGTCACAGGTTTACTTACTGGCAAGGGTAAAGCTGCTGTCATTTGGAAAGTGTCTCTCGATAGTACTGGTCATGTTTGGCAGGCAGCGAGATTTACATTAGGTACCAGGGGGCCAGATTGTGGGGAAGAGGCCATTTCCCCTCCCCCAAAGTACCTCCCCCATGTTGAGAGCATGTGGCCTGGTATGGTTCAGGAGGACGAATACTCGCTCTCCTCCCCGTTTCCTTGCCTGCTGGACTGCATTCTCGGAAAATGGTCTGGTATGGATTTTGGGGGGGGGGGGGTCCCACACCATTTTTTTGAATGCTGACTCTTCTTTACATTCTACTGTCAGCAGGGAATCCCACTGATAGCAGATGAGTCATGGTTGTTAAGGATATGGCGGATGCTCGCTCCTTGACAACCAGCTATTCCCGAATCAATTTGAACCATTTATTATTTCGGATGCTTCAAACATCCCAAACAAAATGAATTAATTTTATTGTTTTTTTTTATCATTTATTTTGGATTTGTTGAAATTCGTTATCATTGTAATTCAGAGATTCAGATACATTTGAATCTCTGAATAATAACAATTTTGTCTGAATTTCGATTCCTAACGAAACAAACTGCACATGTTCATTTAAAACCTTGAGCAGAATAACATAAGCATTCCCAATTAAACTGCTAAAATTCTTACCACAGCACTTGCAGTTTACAATTTTCAATGCTACTTGATAATGCTATCTCAGTGCTGCTTCCCTGAATTTTCAGTCCCCACAGGAAAGAACAATGTACTGTGCAATCTGGAGTCAGTCTATTAGATTGGAGATAGGAGGGAGGGGAACAGGAGGGAGAAGTAGGGGAGTGCCTTGCCATTCTAGGTTCTGGACAGTGTTTCTATTGTTGCACACAGTATATGGAGACACAAGTCTAGTTCCTGCATGCAAGGGTGGCTCCATAGGAGCCACCCTGAAACAGGACACCTGGTGGGGCAGCCATGGTAGTAGCTTAAACTGGAACATAGGGAAGCATTAAAAAAAAAAGCTGCATAATTAGCAAGGGATTGAATTAGCTGCCAAAAGTGCTTCAAAATCTGAGAATTTAATATCACTTTAGCTCTCCCCCTTCTTTTTCTTCCCTCCATTGCCTGTTATGTTCACTCACCTGCCCAGCAGATCCAGTATCATCCTGCAGCAATCTGCTCTTTTAGCTGTCTGTGCCTGTGTCCCAAACCACTTTTTTATTCCTCCTCAGCCTCTTCCTGGTTTAGGCAGCTTGGTAGCCAATGACACATGAGACTGGGATCTGTGAATGGGCTCCTGCAGCCTCCTAAGATATGTGATGAGAGTCTTCCAGGGGGCTTCTGTAGCTCCCCCAGAAAAAAACAGCTATTATTATTATTGTGGAGGAGGGTGTGGAGGCAAAGATTAAAATGAGGTCAAACTGACAATCTTTTTTGATTATAGTGACGAGAACAATAGGTGGAGGATGAAAATGTGGTTTTTATTTCAGGAAAAATTTTTACTTATTTTAATGCACATATATATCCTGAGCTTTTAAAATTAAAATATTGGCATGGTTATAGAACTAATTTTTTTTTTTTCTAAATTTCCATATGAGTGTTCCAGTGAAATTCTGCTGGTGTATTGCCAGCTTTAGTGAACTGAGCCTAGAATGTACTATTAGAAAAGGCATACTGCTTGATTTATAGTCATAACTTCTTTGAAATTATATAGCAAACAAAAGAAAGGAGAGGTTTTTTAGCTATAGTGAGTCTTCAAACTCCTCTCTATGTTTCCTACACATGTTACCCCTATAATTAATTTTTATGAATTTAGCCACAAATATCCAGTAGTACCCACAAAAAGGCAAACATAATAAAAAGACAAAACAATTTGTAAATTTTGAGGCTGACATCAAATCCTCGAGGGATGGCAGGTGAATGAGCTGTTCCAAGAATGGCAGGTGGAAGAGCTGCTTCAAGCTCTGAGAAGCTTGGTTAGACTTGGGCTACAGTAGGGAATTACAGGCCCCCACACAACATTATTGTGTTAAGAGAAACATTTTTCCCTTCCTGTTTCCTGGCATCATCTAAAATATCTCCACATACCTGGAAAGTGCACCAGGGGACCTGATTATGTAAAAAAGATTTTATTGTGTTTTGCAATATGATGATATCATCCCAATGCCCCTACGTTCGGGACAGTTTGGCCAAAAAGTGGTAGACTTCAGTCCCTAATGACTGAAAGGGGGCTAAAAGCTGAGCCCTGTTGCTCAGTTAATTGTATGCAACACTGGAGGATTCCACAGTGTAGGACCATACATTTGTAAAAATAGTGACCTCCCCCACAGGTAAAATGGCTCCTGATCCCCCCCCCACCCCTTTTCCCCCAGCCACTTCTTTTTATTTAGTCCTGAGATAAATGTAATTACACAATTCTAAGTGTGCTGGGAAATGTTTGTATTATTTGCTCTGTGTAAATTCCTTCCATGAGCACCTTACATTAAAAGGCTCATTATAAATTAGAGCAATTATCAGTTGGAGTTACTTATAAAAATGGAGCTGTTAAAAATTGGATATAGTTATAAATTGGATATAGTTATAAATTGGATCGGTTATGATTCGAGCAGTTGTAAATTGAAGCTAGTTATAATTCGGAGTGGCTATAATTTGGAGCTAGTTGTATGTTGAGCTATTTATAAATTGGAGCAGTTGTAAATTGAAACTAGATATAAATTGGAGTGGTTATAAATTGGAGCAGTTATAATCTGAAGCTAGTTAGAAAATGAAGCAAGTTACAAATTAGAGTGGTTATAAATTGGAGCCATTATAAATTGGAGCTAGTTAGAAATGGGAATGGTTATAAATTGGAGCAATTATAATTTGGAGCTAGTTAGAAATTGAAGCAAGTTACAAATTGGAGTCATTATAAAATGGAGTGGTTATAAATTGGAGCAGTTATTGTTTGGAGCTAGTTAGAAATTGAAGCAAGGTACAAACTGAAGTGGTAACACATTGGAGCTAGTTATAATTTGGAGCTATTAATACAATGGAGTGGTTATATATTGGAGTAGTTGATTGGAGTGGTTATAATTTGGAGCTAGTTTTTTAGAATGGTTATAAATTGCAATGGTGGTATAAATTGGAGCAGTTATAATTTGGAGCTAGTTATAAATTGGAGCTAGTTATAAATTGAAGCAAGTTACAAATTGGAGTGGTTATAAATTGGAGCTAGCTATAATTTGGAGTTTTTTATAAATTGGAGCAATTATTAACTGTAATGGTTATAAATAGGAATAGTTATAAATTGGAGCAATTATAAATTGGAGAGGCTATAATTTGGAACAGGTTATAAATTAGAATTGTTATAAATTGAAGCTAGTTATAAACTGAAACAGTTATAAATTAGAGTGGTTAAGTTTTGTAACTAGTTATATTTTAGAGTAATTATAACATGGAATACTTAATACCCAGCTCAACAAAACTAATTAGAAAAATTGAAAGTTGTTGGCCAAACCCTAGCAGATGCAGTAAACATTCAGGTATTCAAGCAGCCTTTAGTTTCTAGTGTTTACCAAATTCTGTTCCAGCTGTTGTATATGCAGCTAAAATCCCGAGCTCCCAATCTAGCAGCTGCAGAGAACAGGAGCTGAGGTTATTGCACCTGTTGGCACAGCTTCTTGCTCTGGCTCTGCCTCAAGTCCGGCCAGCACAGCTGTTTTCAATTATGCATTAAGGTCTTTCAGATATAGAGAGGAGATAAGTTACTTAACACCCTGCTATGTGCCAGCACATGGTATAATGGTATATTTATACAGGCAAACGCAGTTTATACACTAAATATTACATCCCTAATAGAATAATGCAGGCTGAGGATCCCATATTTATTTAAATGTATTTATTTTTTTCTAAACAGTTCCAGAAATGTCATAAAAAGATATTTTTTGTTTTATTTTCCAATTCCATTGTTTACATAGAATATTGTCTGAAAATTCAGCATAGTGCTGTTGCTTGTTTTCATTTTTAGTTTTCATACTTTGCTACCTCTGTTAAAGCATTTTATCATATTTTGTATTACTCAATTAGAGCTCGAAGCCCAACTCTGAGATCACCCCTCCTGCCCTTTCCCCATTGCTTGTCCTTTCTTCCCTGGTGGATCCTGCTGTATGTGTTTTTTTTTTATAAATAACTTTTACAGATGTCTCCAGGACAGGTAGGTGCTTTGTTCTCTTGGCATGAAGTATATTCCTCTTGTACACCATACTGGAATCAGCCATATGGTTTAAAGGGTGCTGCAATAACTCCCTACTGGTAAGGATGTACAACATGGGTGAGATATGTTGCCAGCACACCAACAAGCCAAGCTTATTTCAGTAATGTTTTGGGACTACGCAGGGACTCTTCATTAGGCATGTGGTCATTTTTATATGTATGTGATACATCACATGCCTGATGTAGGATCCCTGCATGGTCCTAAAAGGTTGTGCATCTATGTAAGCATGTAATAAAATGAGCTTTGCATTTTGAAATGAGCTTTTTTGTGTGCTGGTGGCATATCTTATCCCTTGTCCTCTTTGGATCTTCTCTCAGTTGTTGTCCTTGATTAGAAACCAGAGCTGACATGATAATGTCAGTGACACTTTCTGCATTACTATACTGTCAGTCCCGGG